TAAAACCTTTGTTTTACCTCCATCAGTGGTCAGTGTATTTATCAGTTTCTTAATAACCATTTCAATATTTCTATCCTCCTAGGACAAGTCCCTTGAATCTCACTCTTTCCTATTCTCTTCTGAATCAATCTAACTTATTCATTGTTTATTGTTTCAATAAAACTTTTTTTTTTTGTAAGTGGCTCTGTGACTAACAGCTATATATCAGATTACACAGAATCCAAGCTTGACCCAACCTTATGATCCACCCCAACATGTCTTCCTTACTTTCATTTTAGATAGTGTAGATAACAATAACCAAGAGATTGTGTGGTTAGCTTCTTTCTTTACATTTTGCATCTCCTTATACATCCAGTAAGACAACTTCTTGGGAACTATCTCCATTAAGCAATTCCATACTGTGATTGACCCTGTCTCCATTCAGGGATCAAAGGTTCATCATCCCACACCCTCTCTTCACTTCCTAAGCTATGTATTTCAGTGAGTCAGGGTTTTTCTAGGAAATCCCATTTTTGACACCAACTGTAAGGAGTTTTAGCCAACTGCAAAAAATAACCACCTACAAATGTGTAGTACTCCACTAAATTGCCCTCACTTCTGACCCTAATCACAAATTCAGGGGATTCTAAAAGGACCTTCAGGTTTAATAATTCACTCGCATTCATGGAACTCACAGAAAACTGTTATGATTATTATTCATTGAAATAAAAAAGGAAAGAATATGAATTAAAGTCAGCCAAGGGAGAAAGTACATAGAGAACCTCTGCAGAGTCTAGCAGAGGTAACAAACAAGGAACTTGTGTTGTCCTCTTTGGGGACATGGACATGTCGCCCTTCTGGCATCAGTCTGTGATACCAGCTGGAGTAATGCCAGCTGGGGATGCTCACCTGAGCCTTTGGTATCCAGAGCTTTTACTGAGACTCAAACACATACCACCAGTGTGGCTGACCTGTAATCTTTAATCCTAAATTAGAGAGAAGTAATTGGGGGCCTTCCATATAGAAAGTGGGATCAGAAGGCCAAGAAAGGGAATAGGAAAAGGGAATATATATATCCAAGTCACTTAGGAACCTTTATGCAGGTGCAAAAAACTTATATGAAAGTGGCCACAAGACTGTTTAATAGACAGATGAATGAAACTCCATGTTTACTTTTAGACACCAAAGCTTTGTGTGAAATCTTGAATTAATGGGGAAGGAGGAAGGGTAGGCCATGCCTGTCTGTTTTTTTACTGATACCTTCCCCTCATTCCTGAACTGTAGTCTAGCAATGTTAGACTGTCTCTGGTGGCCAAAGTCCGTAAGCAAACAAAGACATTACTATTAGGCATTGTTAGAAATGCACGCTTTGAATGAAGAGGCCCCCTCAAACAGGTTTTGTATGAGCAACATGGCTGTTTATTCACTTGAGTTCAGGTGGGCTAAGGCCGAAAAGGGCATTAGTAAAGGGCAGTGGGATAGGAGTTGGTTTTATAGGTTTGGGGTGGGCAGTGGAAAGTTTCAGAGTAAGATTAGTTACAGTGGTGGGGGTAGGGGCAAGGAGTATACATTACCTTGAGTTTAGTTTCAATGGCAGGTGGGATAAGAGTAGTTCAGATGGTAAGGTGGGGTGAGGAGTATTCACATTATTATGATAACAGTTAAGATGGCAGGGTGGGGTGAGGGGGCGGGGGTGATCAGCCTAGGCAGGCAGGAAGGCAGGACTTTAGACTTTCTGGGTCCTGGCTTGCACATGGAGGCCTGACAGGCATGAAATTCCAAGGACATAGAGCTCACTCCCAGAAGCTGAGGGTACAGGCTAGACCTCTCCTCAGTCAAGGTTAAATTCTTTACTACACAATCTTTAAACAGTAAACTGACCGAGCCATACAAAAATAGGTCAGGAGATTTAGACATCTTTCCAGGTGTTATGTAATCCTCTAAAAACTTTTAAGATTTTGTTTACATCTTTGATTTTAAGCTAATACTTCAAATGTGAAAGAGAAAGACCTCCACCTATTCTGCAAATATATCTGTACTTATGTTCTGGTTTTTAAGTTCTCACCTATTCTCTTTTGGTTATATATTATAGATAATAGGGAGCACCTCAGCAGCAGGTTATATTGACTTTATGCAGTGCTCTTTATAGCTTATTTTATATTTTACCTGCTGTACAATGTTGCCTCGCTATACTTTATGATGGTACTTAGAACTTTAGTTCTTTGGACAAAATAATCTGGTTCTCACGTGGTTGTTAGTTTTAGTGCCCTGCTCTAGCTAAAAATATGAAACCTCTTTCCTGCTTCTTTTAAAACAATTTCAGTACCAATAAATCTTTGTTTATTCATTGAATTTCCCCAAGAAAAGGAGAAGGGAAGGGAAAACAGTCAGCATATGTGTTAAAAATTGATTACACGATGGGAAGAGAAGTAGCCAGTATAGCAAAATCAACCATCAATTAATATACTCCAGTTGTGGGGTCACCAAAGCCCAAAGGGGCTCAATCTCCAGCACTTCAAGAATGAGGGGATAGGATCAGGAAAGTAACAGACAGGTACAGGCTACCTTCCCTCCCCATAAATTCAAGATTTCACACAAAGGTTTGGTGTCTAGTAGTAAACATAGAGTTTCATTTGTCTGTCTATTGAACAATCTTTTGGCCACTTTGATGTAAGTTTCTTCCACCTGTGTAAAAGTTCCTGCATGACTTGGATATAAATATTTATATTCCTTTACTTAGCCTCATGAGACCACTTTCTGCATGGAAGACCCTCGGTTGCTTCTCTCTACTTTTGGATTAAAGATTAAGTAGATTTGGCCCATCCAAAATATAGCAGTGTCTTAAGCGTTTGGCATGAATCACATCAAGAAATGGTCTTGACTCAGAAGGTTGGTAACAAGGGATGGAATGTTCCTAGTTTCTTCAGGAATTTTCTATAAATCATTTAAGAACTATGCAAATAATGAAATAATTAAATATGTATGTGTGTAGGTATGTAGGTTTTATCTCAGGGAGGAAGGGATGGAAAAGAGGGTAGTATACATGTTTCTAGCATGTATGTATTTATTTAGTTTTTAGAAACAGAGTCTCACTGTGTCACCCCAGCTGGTATGCAGTTAAACAATCATATCTCACTGCAGCCTTAAACTCTTGGGCTTCTTGCCTATTTTTCCTGACTTTCTCATAATGCGTCTTTAAACTACCAAGTTGTATACTCAAATTTTACTTTAAAAAAAATGCAGTGCATGCTTTTTTTTTTTTAAGAGAATCTGATTCTGACCATCCATGCCTGTCCTCAATCTTTATTTTTTCCATGTTTTTGGGGTACAGATGGTATTTGGGTACATGAGTAAGTTCTTTAGTGGTGATTTGTGAGATCCTGGTGCACCCACCAACCAAGCAGTATACACCACACCATATTTGTTGTCTTTTATCCCTTACCCACCTCCCACCCTTTCCCACAAGTCCCCAAAGTCCATTTTATCATTCCTACCCCTTTGCATCCTCATAACTTAGCTCCCACATATCAGTGAAATATACAATGTTTAGCTTTCCATTCATGAGTTACTTCACTTAGAATAATAGTCTCTAATCTCATCCAGGTCATTGCAGATGCTGTTAATTTATTCCTTTTTACGGCTGAGTAGTATTCCTTCATATATATATATACATCATATATATGATGTATATATGTGTATTATACATATATATGATGTATATATGTGTATATACATATATATGATGTATATATACATGTATATATGATCTGTACATATATATCATATACATATATGTATACATATATATGTGTATACATACATGTATATTATATATACACATATATATCATTGTGTCGCATTGCAGTTTTGATTTGCATTTCCCTGATCATTAGTGATGTTGAGCATTTTTTCATATATTTGTTAGCCATTTGTATATCTTCTTTTGAGAACTGTCTATTAATGTCATTAGCCCACTTTTTGATGTGATTGTTTTTTTTTCTTATGGAATTGTTTGAGTTCGTTGTAGATTCAGGATAGTAGTCCTTTGTCAGATGTATAGTTTGTGAAGATTACAAAACACTGTGGAAAGAACTCATAGATGACAGAAACAAATGTAAACACATCCCATGCTCATGAATTAGTAGAATCAATATTGTGAAAATGACCATACTGCCAAAAGCAATCTACAAATTCAGTGCAATCCCCATCAAAATACCACCATCATTCTTTCAGAGTTAAGAAAAACAATTCTAAAATTCATATGGAATCAAAGAAGAGCCTGCATAGCCAAAGCAAGACTAAGCAAAAAGAACATATCTGAAGGCAACCATACTACCTGATTCCAGACTAAACTGTAAGGCCATAGTCACCAAAACAGTGTAGTACTGGTATAAAAATAGGCACATAGATCAATGGAACAGAATATAGAACCCAGAAATAAAACCAAACACACCTATCTGATCTTCAACAAAGCAAACAAAAACATAAGGTAGGGAAAGGACAACAAATGTTGCTGGGGTAATTGGCAGTCCATTTAGCCATGTAGGAGAATGAAACTGGATCCTCAACTCTCACTTTACATAAAAATCAACTCAAGATGGATTAAGTACCTAAACCTAAGACCTGAAACTATAAAAATTCTAGAAGGTAACATTGGAGAAACCCTTCTAGACATTGGCTTAGACGAGAATTTCATGATCAAAAACCCGAAAGCAACTGCAATAAAAACAAAGATAAATAGCTGGGACCTAATTAAACTAAGGAGCTTTTGCATGGCAAAAGGAACAGTCAGCAGAATATATCCTTTTATACCACTGTTGTTCCTTAGCTTATACAGAATACTGTAATTTATGTTATGCGTATTTCATGGCATATTGCTAAGACAATGTTTTACATATGATACATGCTTGAGATTGATGGAGGGAAATGCAGATCCAAAATCACAAATCAATTTGATTTCCACCATCTTACATAACTACAAAAGTGCTTAATCTTAATTTTTTTCTTTCTCTGGCATACAGGAATGCTTTCAGTTCATACTGCCAGCTCTACCTCATGCCATTGACCTTCTACGTGATGCCATTGTAAAAGTAAAGGAGGTGCATGATGAACTTGAAGATTTGCCTTCCCCGCCACCTCCTCTTTCCCCTCCTCCTACAACCAGTCCCCATAAACAGACAGAAGATAAAGGGGTTCAATGTGAGGAAGAGGAAGAAGAGAAGAAAGACAGTGGTGTTGCTTCAACAGAAGATAGTTCCTCATCACATATAACTGCAGCAGCCATTGCTGCCAAGGTAAGCCTGATGAAAGATACTCAGAGGTCTAAAGGACCCACAGGTAAATGTACTGGTTTTATCTGTTTTCCATCCTATCCCTCCATACATTTAATACTTTTTCAGAGAACCCTAAAAAAATAACTGGTATGGGCTGGGCATGGTGGCTTATGCCTATAATCCCAGCATTTTGGGAGGCTGAGGCAGCTGATCACAAGGTCAGGAGTTCAAGACCAGCCTGGCCAATATGGTGAAACCCCATCTCTACTAAAAATACAAAAGTTAGCTGGGTGTGGTGGTGGGCGCCACCTACTTGGGAGGCTGAGACAGGAGAATCGCTTGAACCTGGGAGGTGGAGGTTGCGGTGAGCCAAGATTGTGCCAGTGCACTCCAACCTGGGCAACAGAGCGAGACTCCATCTCAAATAAATAGATAAATAAATAAATAGGATGTCCATGACACTCCACTACTATGTTTCCTTCTTGATATAGATTCCTTGAGGGCACTGAGGTTTATTCTGAGACCTGAGGCATTACTGATGAGCTGTTACCTATTGAAGTAATAGCTACAATGATAAACAATGTGACATTTCAGAACTCTTTGGAGAAGTCATTTTTGTGGACATATTAAATATATAATGTTTATATATTCAGAATATCAAAACTTCACAAATTCTTAAAGGAACAGCAAACTGAAGGTAAAAGACCTTAGATGATTCAACAATGAGTTGGTAAATATTAATAAAGATTTTTGTAAAGACAAAGCTTTTCAGCAGTTGTTGAATGTTTCTTAACTAATAACTTATTCAAATATTGCTTGAACAAATTACCCTAGTGGTATAGTTAAGAAATAGATATATTTGCATGTTTAATTTAATAAAGTAATAAATATTATTAGGACAATACCAAATTCTCTTTGGGCAACTCTAGGGATAAATATACTGCCATGAGTTACTTGAAGTTACTGTCTCAAAGTTATAGAAAATGATTTATTCTTCATACTTACTAAAGTCCACCTAGTATGCCTTAATATCTTCAGAAAGTAACATATCAATTCTAGAAATCATAATTTTTCATTAAGAGCATAAACATTAAAAATTTAATTGCTATATGAAATAATTCTCAGAGTTTCATGGATCATCCAGATATTTTGGCTATCAACATAGTGAGGTGTTTTTTTAAATAACGTATAGATTAGAATCACCAAGAAATCCTTTCGAAGTATCCATTCAGTAATCCAGTAAGTGGTTACTTAAGGCTACTAAGTATTTAAGTTGTGTGTGGTTTTTTTATGAAACTAATTGGTGAAATAGGTGCATTTTTAAATCATTATATGTTCCTTTTCTTTTGCCTTTTAAAAGAGTAAGAAGTGCCATAAATTTTAATCTTAAGAGAAAGTTTTGGCATTTAAAATCTAAGCTGGTTCTATCATTCTACATTTGGAAAATGTTAGCATTTCATTTTTCCATTTGTTTTTACCTTTTTTCCTTTTTAGTCATTTTGCTTGTAGAGTTTCATGTTTTCCTGTCACTATATTCATAGTTGTTATGTGTTGTGCATTAGAAGCATCCATTCTACACCAGTCCCGCTGTTGTCATGGCACATGGTGAGCAGCCCATCCCTGGTCTCATCAATTATTCCCATCATTCAGCAGATGAACGGGTAAGACAAGAAGCTTTTGCATTAATGATTTTGCAAATATGCATTCTACTTCACCTTGGAGACAGGCTGTAACATATGGAAGATGTGTTGTTTTATGCTGATGGATTTCCAGCATTGCTTTCTTGTGAAAGTATAAGTGCCATTGAGTATACCCATCAAGGAATTTAATAGAGTTTCTCCTGTGACTAAAGTACTCTGCTATCATTAAGATTCTGTCATTTGTGACAATGAACTTTTATCAAATGACTTGCAAGAAATTCGTTGTTCAGAAGTTACTTTTGTCTTACCAATTTCATCAGATATCTTTAACTAAATTGCTGGACTTAAGATTACCTCTTAAGAGAATCACTTTGAGTCTTAAAATCTAGACAGATTGGTCAAACAAATAGTTGATATGTATTAACCTTCTTGTTTTTTCTCATTATTTTGCATCTCATTTTTTTTCTTATTCACTAGGCTCTCATTACAACCATTTGCACTGTTGACTTTTATATAAATTCTGTGGTTCTTCATCATAAGTAAACTTTTTAGGCTGCATGTTTGTTTATTCAATCACTGGTTGAATGATACCTTGGAGAAAATAAACCAGATCATTAAAGATTAAATTGATAAGTATAAATCTTTAAACAGTGATAATTTAGACACTGGATGAAAAAAAAACTGATCTAAATCCCGAATATGGATATAAAATGAGAGGGGTAGAGAAGAAAAGCAAATAATAGAGTGAAATTTGGGTTTTAAATACTTAGGAAGCAAAACACCCAAAATTTGGAGAGGAAAAAACCAAGTTAGCTTCCATAGTCTCTTAGAAGATATTACCAAATGAAGACTTTTTTTTTTATTTTAATTTTGTGGGGTACATAGTAGTGGATATATTTATGGGGGCATGTGAGATATTTTGATACAGACATACAATGGGTAATAATCATATCAGGGTAAATGGGTATCCATCGCCTCAAGCATTCATCATTTCTTTGTGTTACAAACATCCAATTGTATTCCCTAATTTATTCTAAAATGTACAACAAATTACTGCTGATCATAATCACCCTGTTGTGCCATTGAGATCTTATCCATTGTATCTAACTATATTTTGGCTACCCATTAAGCATCCCCATTTCCCATTCTCCCTCCCCACCCTCTCCACCTCTATAACCATCATTCTACCATCTTTATCTGGATGAGTTCAATTGTTTTAATTTTTAGCTCCCACAAGTAAGTGAGAACATGCAAAGTTTGTCTTTCTGTGCCTGACTTATTTCATTTAACAATGTCTTCCATTTCCATCCATGTTGTTGCAAATGACAGTATCTCATTATTTTTTATAGCTAATCAGTACTCCATTGTATATATCTACCACATTTTCTTTATCTATTTATCTGCTAATGGACACTCAGATTGTTAGTGCTGCAATACACATGGAAGTACAGTTATCTCTTCAATATACTGATTTCCTTTATTTTGTATATATACCTAGCAGGGGGATTGCTGAATCATATGTAGTTCTGTCTTTAGTTTTTTGAGGAACCGCTATACTATTCTGCATAGTGGCTATACAAATCTATATTCCCACAAGTAGTGTACAAGTGTTCCCCTTTCTCCACATACTCACTGACATTCATTATTCCCTGTCTTTTGGATAAAAGCTGTATTAACTGAGATAAGATGATATCTTATTATAGTTTTGATTTGCATTTCTCTGATGATCAATGCTAATGAACACCTTTTCATATACTTGTTTATCATTTATATGTCTCCTTTTGAGAAACATCTATTCAGATCTTTTGCCCATTTTTAAATTGGATTGTTATATATTTTTTTCTATAGAATTGTTTATATAGTCTGGCTACTAATCCCTTCTCAGATGCATAGTTTGCAAATATTTTCTTTCATTCCTTGGATTGTCTCCTCACTTTATTGATTGTTTCCTTTGCTATGAAGAAGCTTTTTAACTTGATGTGATCCCATTTGTCCATTTTTTTCATTGGTTGGCTGTATTTGTGGGGTATCACTCAAGAAATCTTTGCCCAGTCCAATGTCCTGGAGAGTTTTCTGAGTGTTTTCTTTTAGGAGTTTCATAGTTTCAAGTCTTAGATTTAAGTCTTCAATCATTTTTATTTGATTTTTATATATGGCAAGAGATAGGTGTCTAGTTTTAATCATCTGCATATGGATATCCAGTTTTCCCAGCAACCTTTATTAAAGAGACTGTCCTTTCCCCAGTGTATGTTCTTGACTCCCTTTGTCAAAATGAGCTCACTGTATGTATATGGATTTGTTTCTAGGTTCTCTATTCTATTCCATTGGTCTATGTCTTTGTTTTTATGCCAGTACCATGCTGTATTAGCTACTGTAGCTCTGTAGTATAATTTGAAGTCAGGTAATGATTCCTCCAGTTTTGTTTTTATTTTTTCACAGGATAGCTTTGGTTATTCTGGGTCTTTTGTGATTCTGTATAAATGATTAGTTTTTCTATTTATGTGAAGGTATTGTGATAGGGATTGCACTGAGTCCGTAGATTGCTTTGGGAAATATGGACAGTTTAAAAATATTGATTATTCCAATCCATGAACATGGAATGTCTTTTCATTTTTTGTGTGTATCCACTTCAATATCTTGCAGAAATGTTTTATGCTTCTCATTGTAGAAATCTTTTACTTCTTTGGTTAACTTTCTTCCTATGTGTTTTATTTGTAACTATTATAAATAGGATTACTTTCTTAATTCCTTTTTCATGTTGTTCACTGTTGACATATAGAAATGCTACTAATTGGCTGGGCACAGTGGCTCACACCTCTAATCCCAGCACTTTGGGAGGCCAAGGCAGTTGGATCACCTGAGGTTAGGAGTTTGAGACCAGCCTCACCAACAAGGTGAAACCCATTTCTACTAAAAATACAAAAAATTAACCCGACATGGTGGCAGGTGCCTGTAGTCCCAGCTAATCAAGAGGCTGAGACAGGGGAATTGCTTGATCCTGGGAGGCAGAGGTTGCAGTGAGCTGAGATCAGGCCATTGCACTCCAGCTTGGGTGATGGAACAAGACTCCATCTAAAAAAAAAAAAAAAAAGAAAGAAAAGAAATGCTACACATTTTTGTATGTTGATTTTGTATCCTGCCACTTTACTGAATTTGTGTATCAGTTCCAATACACAAATTTAGCTTTTTCCACATGTTGTATCATCTGCAAACTATGGTAATTTGATCTCTTCCTTTCCAATTTAGATGCTTTTTAATCTTTCTCTTGTCTGATTCTAGCTAACACTTCCAATGCTGTGTTGAATAACAGTGGTAAAAGTGAGCATCTTTTCATGTTCCAAAGCTTCGAGGAAAGGCTTTCAGTTTTTCTCCATTCAGTATGATACTAGATGTGGATCTGTTGCATATAGCTTTTATTATGTTGAGGGTTGTTCCTTCTGTACCCAGTTTTTGGAGGTTTTTTTTTAACATGAAGCAATTGAATTTTGTCAAAAGCTTTTTCAGCATTAAGTGAAATGATCATATGGCTTTTGTCATTCATTCTGTAGATTGATTTCCATATATTGAACCATCCTCCCATCCCTGGGATGAATACCACTTGGTCATAATTAATGATGTTTTTAATCTGTCATTGAATTTGGTGCACTAGCATTTTGTTGAGGATTTTTATGTCAATGTTAATCAGATAGTGGCCTGTAGTTTTCTTATCTTTTTTTTAAAATATGTCTTTTTCTGGTTTTAGTAACAGAGTAATACTGACCTTGTAGAATGAATATAAAAGTATTCCTTCCTTCTCTAATTTTCAGACTAGTTTGAATAGTATTTGTATCAGAATATTTCACAGACTTCAGCAGTGAAGGTATTGGTTCTTTTCTTTTCTGGGAGACTTTTTATTATGACTTCAACCTCATTGCTTATTATTGCTGTATTCAGGTTTTGGATTTCTTCATGGTTCTATCTTGGTAGGTTTTATGCATCAAGGAATTTATCCATTGCTTATATGTTCTCCTAGAAGTATTGGCATACAGTTGCTCATAGCAGTCTGTAATAATCCTTTGAATTTTTGTGGTATAATTGTGATGTCTCCTTTTTCATCTCTGATTTTATTTATTTGGGTAATCTCTCTTTTTTTCTTAGTCTGACTAAAGGTTAGGCAATTTTGTTTATCTTTCAAAAAGAAAGCTTCATTTTGTTGATCTTTTGTATTGTTTTTTTGTTTGTTTCAACTTAATTTATCTCTGCTCTGATCTTTATTATTTCTTTTCTTCTAATTTTGAGCTTGATTTGCTCTTGCTTTTCTAGTTCTTTATCAAGTGTCATTAGGTTGTATGGTTGTAGTTTTTCTTTTTTTTTTTTTTAATTTTTTATTGGATTTTAGGTTTTGGGGTACATGAGCAGAGCATGCAAGACAGTTGCGTAGGTACACACATGGCAGTGTGCTTTGCTTTCCTTCTCCCCTTCACCCACATTTGGCATTTCTCCCCAGGCTATCCCTCCCCACCTCCCCCTCCCACTGGTCCTCCCCTTTTCCCCCCAATAGACCCCAGTGTTTAGTACTCCCCTTTCTGTGTTCATGTGTTCTCATTTTTCATCACCCGCCTATGAGTGAGAATATGCGGTGTTTCATTTTCTGTTCTTGTGTCAGTTTGCTGAGGATGATGTTCTCCAGATTCATCCATGTCCCTACACATGACACAAACTCATCATTTCTGATTGCTGCATAAATTCCATGGTGTATATGTGCCACATTTTTCCAATCCATTCTATTATCAATGGGCATTTGGGTTGATTCCAGGTCTTTGCTATTGTAAACAGTGCTGCAATGAACATTCGTGTACATGTGTCCTTATAGTAGAACGATTTATAGTCTTTTGGATATATACCCAGTAATGGGATTGCTGAGTCAAATGGAATTTCTATTTCTAAGGCCTTGAGGAATCGCCACACTGTCTTCCACAATGGTTGAACTAATTTACACTCCCACCAACAGTGTAAAAGTGTTCCTTTTTCTCCACATCCTC